ATTTTCCCCACTGTATATATATATATATATATATATATATAATAAAACTTTAATATTGACCAGTGACTGATGTGACCAGTATATCATGAATGCCTACTCACATTTTCTTCAGAAGTAATTATGCATAAATGTACTTGTTTTCAACCCGTTAAACAACTTGTTCAAGATCAGTCGATAAGTGCAGGAATTAAAGTGCAAGAGTTGGATAAAAGCAGAGGGGATGGAGCAGCTGTGTTGTCTTATGTGTCTGGGAAAAATCACTAGTTAATAAGCTCTGACCTGGGGCCAGTGTTTTTGTTGTTGGATAATAATCAGTATAAGCAAAATGAACAAATGCAGGCCTTGGATCAGTTAAAGCACAGTGCCAAAAACCTCCTGGTGAGCAAATTTGGTTGCATGGCAGTGTTGGGAGGCTTTTGGACTGGTCTTCAACTATCAGAGCAGCTGCATTGGCTCTGCTTTCTGCCTAGTCACAGAACAATAAGACAGAATGTGGCATTATGAATGTGGCATAAATGATGAGGACAAGATAAAGTGTGTTATTAGTCACATGTCCTGATATGTAATTTAACAGTTTAGCAGGCATTAACTTGCACATTTATGTCTAACAAAGCAAATCTTTTCACTTTGACCATTAGTCTAAGACCGTTTAAACATGTATAAAGGTGACATATGTGATTTCTGTGCAACTAACCTCACCAAACAAAACTGAAAAAAGTATATCTTTTTATATTTGATAAGATTTGATATCTTTTCAAAAATGCTTTTTGCGTCAGCTTTAAACAAGTGGTGACTCAGATGCTGTTGACCAGCCTGGTCACAAGGAAAGCAGACGTTTTGAAGTTAGAATGAAAGGCAAAGGGGATGATTGTAAGATGTGGATAGACTGCCACTGCAGGGCGCTGTTAGTTTATTACTGTGTTTTTGTGTTATTTATTTTCTTGATAAGAGAGAGTGTGTGTGTGTGTGTGTGTGTGTGCACGTAGGCAGAGGTCCACAGGATTGTCGGCATACTACAGCTTATCAGCGGGTTTGTTAAGATGACACGATTGCCATAATTGTTCCGGCGGCTAATCAGCCAGAGATGGGCGAGACAACAGTTCGATTTCAGGCACATTGCTTATCTCAGCAGAGGGGGTGTGTGTGTGTGTGTGAGGGAGGGAGAGAGAAATAAAGAGAATAAAAACAAATGAGAAATGCTCTGTTGGTTTCATAACTACATTGTCTGAAAACTGGAGAAAGAAACAGGAACTAAATGGACAGAAAGAGTTTTTGGTCTATTAAATGTCCATTAAAACTTCAGAACAATGTCAGGCGTGACAGGAAGCCAAAAGCCATGCATTTCAGAATTATTATTTAATTGATGCAAGCCAATACAGTTGGCCAATTGAAACCAGTTCAGTCATTAAAATAGTTTTCATATTATCATTAAAAATCGTAATAGGAAGATTTTTTTATTTTATTCCGAAGTCTTTTTTAAAAAGCCATTTTAAAAGAGTTTTTTGTTTGTTTTGTAGTTCAATCGTACATTACACACACACACCCAAACATACATATATATATACAATGGTGGCCAAAATTATTAGAACACTAGTATTTTCACTAGCTAAAAAATGGTTTTAAGTCAGTTATTTCTATCTTTTGCTGTAGTGTGTCAGTAGAAAATATCAGTTTACATTTCCAAACATTCATTTTGCCATTAATTGTAATAATCCAGTGAGATTTTTGTTTGCACAAGGAGTCTGAAAGCAGCCAGCGCTCCACACAGAGATCTGATCTCATGATTATCCGTCTGGAATGACGTGAAGAAACCGAACAAACGGAGACAGACTAAATCCAGAAGAACTGTGGCAACGTCTCCAAGATGCTTCAAGAAACCTACCTGCAAAGCTACCTGGAAAACTATGCGCAAGAGCACCTAGGGCAAAAGCTGCTTTAAATGCAAAGGATGGTCACACCAAATGTTGATATAATTTAGTTAATGGAAGTTAATTGATAAAGAAAATCTATTGATGACATTATTTTTGACAGCATCCTCATTTTACAGCATTTTTACACATGTGCCTAAAATTTTTAACTGTACTATAGCGTTGCAGGTAGGAACAAAAATATCACTGGATTATTACAATTAATGAACAAATAAAGAACAGCATTTATTTAAAATAGAAACCCTTTGTAGCATTTTTTATGTCTTTACAGTCACTTTTGAACAATTTAATGTCCCTATTAATTTCTTTAAAAAAAATAGATGCATGCATATATAAAATAGTATCAGAATTTCTGAGTTTATATTTTTTTCCCCCAGATACTCTGAACGCAGTAACACCAAATGTGTCGGCATCACGATTGAGACCAGACCGGACTACTGTCTAAAGAGACATTTGAGTGACATGCTGGCCTACGGTTGCACCAGACTAGAGATCGGCGTACAGAGTGTTTATGAGGATGTGGCTCGTGATACCAACAGGTCAGGAGTTTGCTGCTTTTAATATAAGGGACGAGCCACAGAGTAGAAGATGAGTGTTTGGTATTTGGTTAAACTTGATCCTGGGATGTTAATTAACATAACATTGTTGTTCAGACTTCCAGTGAGTCATTTTGTTTCAACAGTTTCTGGCTTATGTTGGTAATTGTGGTTTACTTGCTTGATTATGTGTCATTTAGGAATCACTTCAAGGGATTAGTAGTCTTAGCACCTATGCTAATTACTCAATACTTACACTTTTTGGTGTAGTTTTAAGTGCTTTGCTGAGGACATAATGGAATTTAAGTGACCTTGTTAAAAACATAAATAATTAGAAAATGTATATTTTTACCCAGCCATATGACCATTCAAAATTTGTTTTGGTTATTTAAATTTTGTTTTGGAAAATTTAGGATGATATTTCATGTGTAACTGCATGTACTGTATTTTATGCTCTTGTGCATGTTTCTAACTTTTTCCAGGGGACATACTGTTCGGGCTGTGTGTGAATCTTTCCACCTTGCTAAGGATGCTGGTTTTAAAGTTGTTGCCCACATGATGCCAGACTTACCCAATGTCGGTATGGAAAGAGACGTGGAGCAGTTTATAGTGAGTACTTCATGGATCAGTGTAATTCTGCATTCACCTCTAAAATCTGCCACCAAACACAATGTGAAAATGGCAACATGATTAAGCATGAGCGCAATTATGGAGTCATTTTTTTACTTGCAAAATTGTTTGGTGTAGAATACAAATCTTAAAGGGATAGTTCACCTAAGAATGAACATTCTGTCCTCTTTTACATCATTATCCTCACGTTGTTCTAAACCGGTATGACTTTCTAATGTGGGATGTTTAGCAGAATGTAGGATCCAGTAATAACAAAAAACACAATTTAAGTAGAAAATCTTTGGTGTCATTTACATACATGTACACTACCATTCAAAAGCTTGGGGTCAGTATGATTTAAAAAAAAAAAATTAATCCTCTTTTTTTTTTTTACAGGCTGAATTAAATTTATCAATAGTGATAGTAAATATATTTGTTTATTGCAGGGGTTTCCAACCTTGCTCTTTTAGAGCTACCGTCCTGCAGATTTAAGCTCCAACCGCAATCAAACACACCTGAACCAGCTAATCAAGGTGTTCAGGGTTACTTGATAACTACGGACAGGTGTGTTGAAACAGGGTTTCTGCAGGTAGCTCACCAGGAGCAGGGTTGGAGATCCCTGGTTTATTGTTTAGTAAAAAAATCTATTTCAGGTAAATAATGTTCTTTTGAACTTTCTATTCATCAAACAACCCTGAAAAAAGTATCACAGTTTCCACAAAAATATTAAGCAGCACAATGGTTTTCAACATTGATAATAAAAATGTTTCTTGAGCACCAAATCAGCATATTAGAATGATTTCTGAAGGATCATGTGACACTGAAGACTGGAGTAATGGCTGTTGAAAATTCGGCTTTGCATCAGAGGAATAAATTACATGTTACAATATAAATAGACAACAGTTATTTTAAATTTTAATATTTTACAATATTATAGGTTTTAATGTATTTTTGATCCAATAAATGCAACCTTGGTGAGCATTAGTGAGTTCTTTCAAAAACATGTAAAAAATCCTACCAACTCCAAACTTTGGTTCTTTCGTGTATCATAACCATGCCAAATTTGAACATGCACAGATTACTTAATTTTTAGTCTGTTCCTCACACAAAGCTATTTAAAAAGCCATTAGAGGATTTTTAAATATAGCACAAAAGTAGTATGGGCTACTTTTATGACACATTTTTGGTGATTATTTTATTTTTTTGTATACTCCCCTCCCATATTTTTGGAAATACATTGTTTTAATATTCTGCCAAATGTTTCCTTTGGTGTTTGCTTGAATAAATTAAGTCATGCTGGTGAGGAAATAATGACACAATTTTCAAAACTTGCAAAAGTGCCACTTCAATAATCATGTTTGGATTACTTAAAATACGGCTCAAACGTAAACTTCAAGAGGATTATGGGATGTCGTGCTTTGTAATTTAAGGTCCTCATACATACAACTGTTTATTCTGTAAGCTCCTTTAATGTAAATGAACTGAGGAGTTGAGAGACCGACAACTGCAGAGTTTATCTCTGTACCTCACAGGTTATGCAGATGGTTTACAAAATGTCATTTTCCTCAACGAAAGGACTTCAATTAATCAACGTTTCTGGGAAATGGCTGTTGGGATATCCAAAATTTCCATATTACATTCGGGTGCTCTATTAACTTTGACACTCAAAGTATCAGAAACTACTGAGCCGTAGTCATCATCAAGCAGACTTCCCAGAGGTATTAGGACAAGAAATGAGAAATTAAATGTCTCTCCTTTAGAAAAGTTTGAATAAAAAAGAAATAGCAAAATGAAATTGTTTTCCATATCACACAGCCCTAGGTTACAATGCGAAGAGGCAAACAGAGGTTATACACAAAATGTACAGTACAGGAACACACAGAATACTATCCAGTGGAAAAATCTGCTTTTATCGGATGTAGTAGCTAATTGTTCCATAGCAGGAATGATGGTTGAATGTAAATGAGGTAGAGAGTGATGTGCCATGGCAAGCTGCTCTTTTATACCCTCTGTCAGTGTCCAGCTGTGACGCATTGGTTCACATTATCAGGGGCTTCATTATGTGAAGTGAATAGAGCATTCATTATGGTGGGTTTCATTACCGAAGCATGGAGATCCAATCAGTGACTGCGCTTTGGAACCCATTCAAAGTGCTTCTCTCTGAAAGACTGTATTAACACCAACCAGGAGCAATCCAGGTGCCAACAGGTTTCTATGATGTCTTAAGCAAACGCTGTCAGTGCACAATCTTATGAGTTTAGCGATTTTAAAGCGGGTGATTATTTCCCATTAGGAGAACAGAAGAGCCTAGAATGAAGTGAATGACGTTAATGTTGCATAAGAAACATCATGATTAACTGAGTGCAGTTATATAAATAATATTTTGCATTAACAGTCTAATAAATGCCACTTAACTGTAGAAGAGAACCATTAACTTTTTATTGCAATCATCCAGTCTCTAGAGTCTCCGAAGGCATGTGTCTCTAAAGCTAAAAGTCTTCACTTAGATTTTTAGATTTATTGAACCAAGCCCACATTACACCTACCTCATTTCCCCTTGGGAGGCTCTTTCTCGCCTCCACACTGCTGCAATCAACTGACAGCTCCTAAATATTTGGACAGCAATACCTTTTTGCTCTTTATTTGTTCAATTTGTAATTGTAATATTGCAATTAGAGGCTAAAGGTACAAACAGTGTATTTTAAAATATTCCCTTTTTTACACTTTTGTGACTTTTTTGGCCCCTTTAATGTTAGCCAGTGTTTATTGGAGGCAATTCTGATTAAATAAAATGTAACCAGTGTGATTCTTTTACAAGAGCTCTTAATAGTGAAATAAACTTTTTTATCAAAGTTCAGGAAAGTTGCCAATAAAGGGTTTAGGATTCAACGTTTCTGGGAAATGGCTGTTGGGATATCCAAAATTTCCATATTACATTCGGGTGCACTATTAACTTTGACACTCAAAGTATCAGAAACTACTGAGCCGTAGTCATCATCAAGCAGACTTCCCAGAGGTATTAGGACAAGAAATGAGAAATTAAATGTCTCTCCTTTAGAAAAGTTTGAATAAAAAAGAAATAGCAAAATTAAATTGTTTTCCATATCACACAGCCCTAGGTTACAATGCGAAGAGGCAAACAGAGGTTATACATAAAATGTACAGTACAGGAACACATAGAATACTATCCAGAGGAAAAATCTGCTTTTATCGGATGTAGTAGCTAATTGTTCCATAGCTCTATTAACTTTGACACTCAAAGTATCAGAAACTACTGAGCCGTAGTCATCATCAAGCGGACTTCCCAGAGGTATTAGGACAAGAAATGAGAAATTAAATGTCTCTCCTTTAGAAAAGTTTGAATAAAAAAGAAATAGCAAAATGAAATTGTTTTCCATATCACACAGCCCTAGGTTACAATGCGAAGAGGCAAACAGAGGTTATACACAAAATGTACAGTACAGGAACACACAGAATACTATCCAGTGGAAAAATCTGCTTTTATCGGATGTAGTAGCTAATTGTTCCATAGCAGGAATGATGGTTGAATGTAAATGAGGTAGAGAGTGATGTGCCATGGCAGGCTGCTCTTTTATACCCTCTGTCAGTGTCCAGCTGTGACGCATTGGTTCACAATATCAGGGGCTTCATTATGTGAAGTGAATAGAGCATTCATTATGGTGGGTTTCATTACCGAAGCATGGAGATCCAATCAGTGACTGCGCTTTGGAACCCATTCAAAGTGCTTCTCTCTGAAAGACTGTATTAACACCAACCAGGAGCAATCCAGGTGCCAACAGGTTTCTATGATGTCTTAAGCAAACGCTGTCAGTGCACAATCTTATGAGTTTAGCGATTTTAAAGCGGGTGATTATTTCCCATTAGGAGAACAGAAGAGCCTAGAATGAAGTGAATGACGTTAATGTTGCATAAGAAACATCATGATTAACTGAGTGCAGTTATATAAATAATATTTTGCATTAACAGTCTAATAAATGCCACTTAACTGTAGAAGAGAACCATTAACTTTTTATTGCAATCATCCAGTCTCTAGAGTCTCCGAAGGCATGTGTCTCTAAAGCTAAAAGTCTTCACTTAGATTTTTAGATTTATTGAACCAAGCCCACATTACACCTACCTCATTTCCCCTTGGGAGGCTCTTTCTCGCCTCCACACTGCTGCAATCAACTGACAGCTCCTAAATATTTGGACAGCAATACCTTTTTGCTCTTTATTTGTTCAATTTGTAATTGTAATATTGCAATTAGAGGCTAAAGGTGCAAACAATCTATTTAAAAATATTCCCTTTTTACACTTGTGACTTTTATTTTTGTCCACTTTTAATGTTAGTCAATGTTTCTTGTACCAAAAAACAGCATTTGGAGCCATGAATTCTGATTAAATCAAATGTAACCACTAACCAGTGTGACTCTTTTTACAAGAGCTCTTAATAGTGAAATAAACTTTTTATCAAAGTTCAGGAAAGTTGCCAATTAAGGGTTTAGGATTGTGCTCAACAATTATTTGTGCACAATTTTTGCCATGACATGACATTATTTTTTACTGTGGCTTCAGGCTAGGGCTGCACCAGTATTAAAGTTCTTGCTGATACTGATAAGACAATTTATTATTATCATGTTATGGTCATTAATCGATAAATTACAATATTACAATTCTGGCCGTTACCAATAAGATAATAATTAATTATTTTCATGTTATGGCCAATAACCGATAAGTTACCGATATTAAAATTCTTGCTGATACTGATAAGACGATTAATTATTTTTATGTTATGGCCAATAACTGACAAGTTACCGATATTAAAATTCTGGCTGATACTGATAAGACGGTTAATTATTTTTATGTTATGGCCAATAACCGATAAGTTACAGATATTAAAATTCTAGCTGATACTGATAAGATGGTGAATTATTTTTATGTTATGGCAGATAACCGAAAAATGGCTGATATTAAAATTCTGGCTAACACTGATAAGATGATTAATTATTATCATGTTATGGCGGTTAAACGATAAATTTCCGATATTAAAATTCTGCCTAACACAGATGAAAAGATTAATAATCATGTTATGGCTGTTAAGCAATAAATGACTGATATTAAAATTGTGCCTAACATGATGAGTTATTTGCATGTTACAGTCATTAACCGATAAATCTGTAATATTAAAATACTATACTATTTTGTCTAAATAAATAAAAAAATAAAAACATTTAGGCATCACAATGTACAATATAATTTTTTTATGTTGATATTTGCTAAAGATTATATTTTACCATGATATTAAATGGGTTATTTGCATTTTGTACCCTCTGCAGTTAAGCACAAGGCAGCTCTTCTTTCCTCCTGTCTGTAGATTTGTGTCAGCATGACCACATCCCAGCAAACGCACTTGTAAAATAATCTTCAGTGTGTTTGTCAGCACAAAGTGCCTGCCATTTTGTTTTCCACTCATATTCCTGACCATGTTGTTGCTTTTTCTCATTACAATGAAAGGACCCACTCAAAGCATGGCACTTTGTGCTCTTTTGACGATAATGGGCTCATTGTTTTACCATTCCGCCTATTAATTCCTCCAGCGTTTTATTGACATCGGTTTCACGCATAAGTTTGAGTGTATATTAAATCGTCTCTCACACACCTGTTGTGATATCTCTGTGATAGAGAGCCATTAGGAGGCATTGTGTCAGAGCGGGAGAGAGGGAGATTAATGGCTGTGGAAGGTGGTCTCTGACCCCACCGCTATCAGCTCTCCTCCTCCGCCACCATGTTGCCCACACAACCTCACCGGCAGCGCTCGTCCGGTTTATCTCACCTAACCTGCTTCCTGTGATGCTCGTGCTCTCCTCTTCCCCTCCCACTTTCGTATTTGCTTGCTCGCTCTTCGTCACGCCTCCCCCACCTTCCGAGACGGGGACCTGTCGGCGCTATCTCAGGACGAGTGTGCGGTGGAAAGGAGCGTGGCTTAGTGATAATGGAATCCCATTACTGACTCGTCCGACTCTCACTTCTCACTTATCAGACTGTTTGCAGGCTCCCCTCCCTACATAAAAAATAACACTCAAGTGTAAATATATCACACAAAAACTCATTTCATTTGACTCTTAGAGTAAGGAGAAGCGCATGGCTAGTTGTGACTCAAATAATCCGTCATTTCAATTTGTCTGTTAAAAGCAACTATTTTTGTTTGTTTGTGCTATTTAGAGCCACTGCTTAGTTTAGACTCATGCAGTCTTTGTTTAAATGCACCAGTGTCTAGTTGAATGATTCACTAGTGTGTCGGGAAGTAGGACAGTACCAATTAAATGACCATTGGCATTGTCTCTTTGATTGTAATGGTTACGTTTCCGAGTGTGCTGTGTGACCCCTGAGCTTTTCAAAGTGACAAGGGTAAAACAGATTCCCTCACAATTGCACTTTAAGTAGAAGACGTAAGCAAGATCAGTGATGGAGGTCATGAGACTTTATTTAGCAGTTTTCCAATTCTTGAACTTGTGAATGATGTTACTTTCCAGTTACGTTTCATCCATTAAATACTTCAGGTGAAATTAATCAATAAACTTTGCATCACAAGTATGTAATAGTAGTACACAGCCTGTCAGCATACAATACAAGCTGAATATGCTTATGTTCTGCTTAGAATTGTTTTATAAATCTCATCCCTACAGCTTCTTATTTCGGTTTAAGATTTCTTAGTTTGGAAAAAGATAACTGGTAAATATTTTCATAGAAGATAACTTGTAATATTATGATCGGAGAAGTTATAGTACCGTAAGTGAAGTCTTTATTATGTTTTAGTTTTATAATATTTATAAATATTTTAGTTTTATTATGGCAATGAGATAAAAAAAAATAATTATAATAAATTGCATATATAATACCTATTTCACATATATATATATTCTTTTTAAATTCACGCCAAAAAATGAAAATGTTTTTATGTTTTTATCCATGTTAATAACAAATTAGTGGACTCATTACTGGTCCTAGTTGAGTAAGTCTCATGTTTGCTCTGCTAAAACATCTCTTGTCTCTGTCACTAGGAGTTTTTTGAGAATCCTGCATTCAGACCAGATGGTCTCAAACTTTACCCTACACTGGTGATTCGAGGCACCGGACTCTATGAGCTGTGGAAAACAGGCCGCTATAAGAGCTACTCTCCCAGTGCCTTAGTGGATCTGGTAGCACGAATTCTAGCGCTGGTTCCACCATGGACTCGTGTGTATCGTGTACAGAGGTAAGATGGACTTAATGTTACAGTTTTGGACTTAATGTTACTACCTTTCAGAGTTTGTTTTGGCCATAATTATGGTTCCTCTCATTTGACTCAAAAGTGCAATATCAATTTATTATACATTGATATTACAATTTACATTAAATTTAGAAGGTTTTTAATATATTTTAAAATGTAATTTATTCCTGTGGAGGCGAAGCTGAATTAACAGAAGCCATTTCTCCAGTGTTCAGTGTCACATGATCCTTCAGAAATCATTCAAAGAATTCCATTTCAAATATGAGTGCAAGGGAGTGAATGCACAAACATGAATTTCTTCATCTTTCAGTACATTCCAGCCTCTGGCCTGTGAATTTATACAGTGAAAAGACCAAAATAATATCATTCTGAATCATTTTCATGTTAAATTAATGAAAAATAAATTATTAAAAATAAAAGATTTTAAATGAAACAAATGTGGTTAGGCATCACAACATTATAACATTATTTTGGGTTTTGTAAAATTTACATTTAACAGTTTTATTAAATTATTAGTGTTTTTAAAAATTAACTAATTGAGTGTTAAATTATGGCAAAGGTAATTTAAATGTAAAAGCACGAAATTAGCATTAACAATTAAATATCCAGTATCATCTAGTACCGATAAATGTATAAAAAGTCTCTAATATCGATAATTGATATGGAACCAATGCATCATGCATATATAATTTATTATTTAATCAAAAAAGAAGCATTTCCTGTTGCCCATATTCATTATAGTGTGACTGCCGTTTAGTTTTTAAACCTCTAATCTCTGGCCTCTTTCAGGGATATCCCAATGCCATTGGTGAGCTCTGGGGTGGAACATGGGAATCTGAGAGAGCTGGCATTGGCCAGAATGAAAGACATGGGCACTGAGGTAACCTTAATTATCATTCATTTAGTTTGTTTGCTATATGAATTCAAGGCTATTAAGTACAAGCTGTTGTCGATTCTTGCAGTGTAGAGATGTACGAACCAGGGAAGTGGGCATACAAGAGATTCATCACAAAGTTCGACCATATCAGGTAATTCACGTTTGGTGTTAGAAGTTATCAGAAACTTGTTGTTAAATCTTGTACAGTTAGCATCAGGAAATAATTTCTGTGCTTCTTATAGGTTGAGCTGATCCGCAGAGACTATGTGGCTAATGGGGGCTGGGAGACCTTCCTGTCTTATGAGGACCCCGAGCAAGACATTTTAATTGGTCTCCTGCGTCTTCGTCGCTGCTCACCACAGTCCTTCCGGCCCGAGTTGAAGGGTGGCGTTTCCATTGTTCGGGAGCTGCATGTCTATGGAAGCGTGGTCCCTGTCAGCAGCCGAGACCCCAGCAAGTTTCAGCATCAGGTAAAGACACCTTATTTCTGCCAGTAAAACGGCAAAGTAACTTTACTGTCACCTGGAAAAATTACGAACACATGATTTTTTTCATTAATAATGGTTAAAAGTATATATTGAAAAACTATTTGTCTGGTGTCAAGATAATTGTAAATTGCCCAGATTTGAACAATTTTATTTTTATTTAAGGCTTTTGTCTTTTCATGTATTTTACATAGTCTTATGACAAGCCGTTTTAGCTTAAAATAATCCCAGTGTTACTCGTCGTAATTGCATTTTTACTAGTAACAATTCAATTAGAGAGCTCTACAGTTAAATTCTTACTAGTAACAATGCCAGTTAGAAAGCTCTCTAATTCAGTTCTTACTAGTAACAATTATGATTAGAGAGGTCTCTAATTCAATTATTACTAGTAAGAATTCCATTTACAGAGCTCTCTAATTCAATTCTTACTAGTAAAAATTTAAAGGGGTCATATGATGCGATTTCAATTTTTCTTTTCTCTTTGGAGTGTTACAAGCTCTTGGTGCATAAAGAAGAAGTTGCAAAGACTAAAGTCTCAAATCCAAAGAGATATTCTTTATAAAAGTTAAGAGTCAGCCACACCTACCTAAAACGGCTCGTTCTAACACGCCCCAACATATCTACATCACTATGTGGGAAGATTTGCATAACGCCGCCCAAATGTTCACGCAAAGAAAGAAGGCGTAACTTTGATTCTCGCTGTAGTATTGTTGCTACCGCC